AAAAACTCAAGCTCAGATTAGGATGAAATTAAGTGCTTTTTAGACATGAGATACATTTGTGCACCAGGTGCTATACATAGACTTTTAGAATTCAAAATTCATGACACATACTATATCATCTTCTGGTGCACATTAATAAATACATTCCTTAAATATTTCTAATTCTATTTTGGGATTCTATTCTGTTAACTTATTTCTAAATTATCTGGTATTACTTTTGAAATAGTTTATTTTTACAAAAAATGTTTAAAATTGTTTTAGGTCATCAAGAAATGTTTTGTGTTTTTTTTAGATTTTAATCAGCTTGCCATTAAAAAACATCTACAAGTAAAATCTAATCAGAACATACTAAATATTCAATTAATGGACCAAAAAGTATACAAGTCTAACTGAAAGATCAAAATAAAATAAAACTACATTTCTAAAGTTTATACTTCAATTAAAGAAAGGTAAGCTTAAAATTTTTAACAAGTTAATCATAATGCATGCCAATAACTTATTTGTTAAATTATAATCCCATCATCAGCTTGCAATGTATGCTTAACCTAGGGAGAACTTTGAATGTTAAGGATAAAACATTACAGTGTATTAATTTTATTTCAAAATATGAAGAAGTAAATATTTTTACCAAATAATAGAAAATGTTAACCATAAGTAATAAACAGATTTAGGGAACTAAGCAAGAAGTTTGAATGCCATCACACAATCTATTATAATTCAGTTGGACAAAGAATGTGTTACTAGTACTTTTAACAGAAAAAAAAAACATGCAGACTCCACTTTTCTGTACTTAGTAATCTGCAAATGAATCTGTATTATCAGGAGTGGAACACATAAAACTATATCTTATACCCATGTATTTGCAAATATATAAACTTACATTTATAAAGATGTTCTAGGTGTATTCAATATGCCATATATATATATGTTACACAACAAGACACTGCAGATGTAGTACACTTACAGTACAAATATATTTTGTAATGGACAAAAACAAAATGTTACTACAACCAGAGTCAAATAAAAACAACTATTAAAATATAGCAGAAATCCAAATAAAACAACAACAGATTTAATACTTATAAAAAACAATTAGTAAACCCATGCCTGGCCAGGACTAGGTACAAACATTAATAAACAATTTAATATAAATCTCAATGTTATTAATTTCAATAAAAATCAAAGGAATTGGGGAAAAGGACCAAAATAGGACAAAACCTAATTCACCAGAGAATAACATAAGGTTCCAAAATCACACCACTTCTCAAAACCAATAACAATATCAAACAAGTATGAGCAATAATTCTTTCTAAATATATCTTGTGAACTAACTTCTTTTCAAGATCAAGGAAGGCTTTTTATTTAATGGTTAGACCAAGAGGTTACATCTCATGTGACTAGCTATTACCATAAATCTATATAATCTTTCACAACATTAATATCTGGACATCACTGCCAGGGGAAGGTTGTATTAGTTTCATAATACATACATACTCAAAATCAACATGCTAGATAGAAGGTGAGTTGTTAATTTAATATAATTAAAAATTCATAGTTGAACTAAACAACAGAAGGAATAATAAATGAACAGTAAGCAAAACCATAACAAAATAAAAGTAGAATTTGCTATATCACAATCTGAAAAGAACACTATATATTTTATTTATAGATACACATAAATATATATATATATATATATACATGTAATTTAAGAACAACAAGGAACCTGTTGATCCATCTAGACCATCCCAACAATTAAACTAAAGATTAAAATAAAAATAAATCATGCAAAGACAGTTCTTATCATTGAAATATTTTTCAAACCTTTCCATAAACTCCTTTAAAGTAATTTCATCCATCACATCTGAAGGCAACCATTCTAAAGACCAATTATCCTGTTGGAAAAATAAAACTGTCTTAGCTGAATTTGACTTCTATCCTGCCAGAGTATATATTTATGTCCTCTAGTCCTACCATTCTCACTATTAAATACAGAAAAAAGATGATGCATCAATACTATCACTTTCTTTAACAATCTTAGACACCTCCATTAGATCAGATCTAACTCTTCTTTTTTTAAAGATATCTTAACCTGTCTTTTTATGGCAATATTTTTATTCTAGGTATCATCCACGTACCCTTCTCTGAACATTTTCCAACAATTGAATGTCCTTCTTAAAGTACAGCATCACTGAAAATATACTCTAAATGTAACCTAATCTATGATATAACCTCTTAAGACTTGAATTCAATATTTTTGTAGATACAACTTACCATCCTATTTGCCCTGCCACTACCAACAGTACAATGCTTGGATGGTTTAAGAGGTTGATCAACAAGATACTTTTCTTCCATAACACTGTTAAAGTTATTCCCAGCAAATTATTCTCATAATTCAAATTATTATATCCTATATGCATTACCTACAATAATTATATTTAATAGCCATCTGCCAGTTACTTGTCCAACTCACCAAATTATCTAAATCCTTTTGTAAAGCAACAGCAAACAACACCAAAAATCTTAACATCATCAGCAGGTTTAAATAACTTGTTGACCATTCCTTCAACTATACTATTTGTGTGAATAAAAATTATTGAGCCCTGAGGTACCGCACTTGTGACATTAATCCAGTCTGAAGGAACTCCATTTATAACAATCCTCTGCTTTCTTCCATCCAGCCAGTTTTCAAAACAATGAACCAATTTATCCTCCACACCTACAAATATAATTTTTTAAATAAGCCTTTTATGTGTCACCCAGTCAAATGCTTTCTGAAAATCCAGATACACCAAACCAACATCTGTACCCTCATCTACATAAGCAATAATCTCTTCAAAGAATGTCAGAAGATTAGTAAGGCAAGATCTTCACCTATTGAAACCATGCTGACTGTCAAACAAAATTTGAATCTTTGTTAAATGACTTTGCAAAGTATCTTTTATGAGACTTTCCCCACCACTGATGCAAGTCTAACAAATCTATAATTATTGGGACACTTTTTATCACCTTCCTTGAAAAAAGCAGTAACATTAGCCAACTTCCAATCTACTGGCACCTGCCAACTGGTCAAGGACTTACAAAAAATGGTAGCAAGCAGCTCACATATCCAATCTTTAACCTCCGTCAAAACTCTTAGTTAAATATTATCTGGCCCAGGAGCTGTATCATTCTTTAAACTTCCCAATATTTATTACCAATCTCAGAATCAATGTGATCATCTTGTTCATAATGAGGAATATTGCTTCAATCTTTATTAGTATATATTGAAGAACAGAATTTAACAAACAGTTGCCCAATTCACAGTAGATAATTCTTGTCTTTTTCCTTCATAATTTTTTTGAAATTTAGAACCAAAATTTCATTATTCCTTAACTCCTTTAACACATCAAACCTAATCAAAAAATTATCAAATGCACCAAAGTGATTCCTAATTTCCAGCCTATCAACCATTTCATTATTAAAAATCAACGATAAATTTAAAATAGCTTTGTTCCTAGAAGTTTACCCAACAAATTGATGAAGAAAACCACTATAAATAGTTTCTCCCTCATGATTTCACTCTAACATTTCCCAATCTTTATGTCTGAAATTAAAATCATTCATAATTATGACCTCATTAACAGCTGAAATTTTATCTCACTGTAGAGTTTCTCAATAATTTCCTCCTTTATATTTAGTGGCCTACAATTAATTCCAACTAAAACCCTTCTCCCCTTAAACCACTAACAGAAACCCAAATAGATTCAATATCACTGGTATTAGCTCTGATATTCTCAAATTGAACAGAAAATAATTCATATTTTTTATATAAAGCCACTGCTCCCTCTCTTTTCAGTACTCTGTCCCTATTAGATAACCTATAACCCTGTACTTCAAAGAAATTCCTGTCATCAAAATTGTATACATTTAACCAAGTTTTACTAATTCCCTTTATGTTAAAGTCCTCCAATCTGACTAGTGCTATAATGTTATATATTTTATTTCTTATACTTCTAGCACTACAATGCTCAAAGTTTATACTACCATTTAAACTAATTCTGTACTTTGTTCCAACACTACACTTTTCTCTGTATCTCTTTCAGCATTCTATCCCTCCCCATTGTCTAGTCCTCACAGTTGAGTTAATAGCCCTTGTAAACAAGACAGTTCCTACTCTATTTAAATGTAGACCATCCATTAGGAAAAGTCCCTTTTTCCAATTTAACTGATCTCACAAATCCAATCAGTCAGTTTGCTTACCCATACATACAAAATATACTTGCACAGAGTCCCCAGAAGTGTTCTATTTCAAAAGTACCTAAAAATCAAAATTAAGAGTAACAAGTATTTTTATTTCTTGTTTTTTAAGTTCATATGCATTGTAGCAGGGGTAAAATTATGCCAGTACTCACCCACACTGAGTACCATAAGTTATTTTTTAAGGTGTTACTAGTACCAGGACTTATTTGAGCTGCTTTATAATTTTTTGTGTTTACAAGTAGATTTCTTTTTCAAAAATAGGTCCACTTCACCCACTTCACTTTTGGAGAATTTCACCTCTGTATTGTAGCCTACAGAGTGCATAATTTTTCTCCAGATTCATGATATGCACACATTTGACTGATGTCATGACAGTACAAATTGCAGCATTAAGCATCCCTTATGTGATGTCATTTTAGCATCTACTAACTGACTGATAGACAACACACTACTGTATAGTAGTGCGAGTGGTTAAAATATGTCACCTCTCCAGGTGACCTTCAGCCTCCTTTTGGAGAAGTTAACTTAAGCCTAGCATTCAGCCCTAATAACCTACTTATAATTTCATATGTTACTTACATATTTCAATCTCAGCATAATATTTTCTTCAACAAGCAGTGTCTTCCTAGTAGAAAAGAAATTTTGTGTTTCATCCTGGAATTGTCATATTGCAATTTATAAATAAAAATTGTTCTGAAAAAAAAAACATAATATGAAGAAACAGTGGCATCAGAAAGTGATTTTTGAAATTCTTGTACTTATTTAAGTAAACAGGTACCTATAAGCATTTATTGAAATTGGTTTTAGTGAACTATGTTATTTTCTCTTTTAGTCTTATTTCTAAAAACTAAAACAATAAATTCACATTTTTTTTCCATAACTTATCTTTTGTAACTAAAAAACAGTTCTTCTTTGTGCTTACACTGAGGGTTGATTACATTATATTAAAATATATTATGAAATACATAATATCACATGACAACTACAGCTGGGGTACAGTCTTTGTGGAACAGAGTGTATCAGAACTACATTTTGACGAAACAAAAAACTGATTACATTTTGGAAAGGTATATTACATGAGGACACACGTTTTAGATTTAGAAAAGACAGACTTGGCTACAGGTAATAAAATTTTAATTTTCTAACAGGTGATTCACTTATGGAATGAGCTATCAGCAGTGGCGGAGGCCAGCACTTTGCAAGAGTTAAAGATAGGAGTCAGTAATTTCCTGAAAAAATAAAGGTATATTTGAATCTTTAATTACTCATGGGTTGAGTAATGTTAAGTCTAATTATTATACTATGCATATTTTCCCTGCCCAAGTTTAGGGCTTGATTTGTTATCATGATGATTCAATTACGAGACTACAAATATATGTAAATATATGAAATTAATAGGTGACTTTATTGATTTATTTTTTCTTTTGATTAAATTCTAAACTTGGTGCCCACAAGAACTGGCATTAGTACTGTTGTGATGATAACCATCGTGAATTTTTTAAGGTTTGAGTTAAAATGCCCCTCAGTGGCACAACGGTATGTCTGCGGACTTACAACGCTAGAAACCGGGTTTTGATACCCGTGGTGGGCAGAGCACAGATAGCCCATTGTGTAGCTTTGTGCTTAATTACAAACAAACAAACAAGAGTTAAAATTACGGTTCAATTTAACATGTACCAAGTGAAGGTAAAGTTGTACTCTAAAATCGTGTTAGGCCTACCTAATATTTGTATGAATATATGATATACAGAGTAACTTAGATCAAGCGTAACCTATCGGAGTACACTGTACAGTGAGTAATGATTAAAAAGCTCTGCTATTCAAAGGTGTGGATCATGCTAGGATCACAATTATATACGTAATTTACATATATTTCCTGAACTTGATCCATCAATTTTCAAAAACATTTGTCATATGAAACTTACACTTTCCTTTTTCTTTTTTGTCTTTTTTCTTTTTCTCCTAACCGAAGAGTCGCCATTTATTTTATGTGCACCATTGTTACCATGGCAACGTTTTTGTTATAAAAAATACAGAGAGAGAGAGAAAAATTCATCTTGATGAATAGACATTACTTCTGACCACTAAAAATTGTTTTCATTATTGTATATTTTCCTGTGGCTGAAATTAATGTATCAATGATAAGAAAAAGGCAGCACGGGGGTAAAAACCCCAAAACACCGAAAAATGGAACATGGAACAAAACCAAACTTTTCCGTTACAGGATGAAGAGGTCTGGATTGAACCCTGCCCCCCCCCCCCAGTCGAGCACAACGACTAAAACACCGACACAGACAGACAGACCCCAGAATACTTTCCCACAAATCTCTATATACTGGCCCTATACTACGGGTTTCCAATAAGATGAAATATACTAGTATCTCGACCTTCTGCCTCTGCCGAAGAGGACTTTCATTCAATACCAGAGTTATTCATGTCAGCGAAGAATGCAAAATACAAAATCTTGATTGAAATGCTATTGATATAAATTATATACAATATATTAGTTATTAAGGTACATAATGTTTCATGCTAGGAAAGTGGGATCTATTAACCGCTAGTTTGTGTGACATTACATTACAATACGATTGGTAATAATTTTCTAGAAGTCTTTATTTTTTTACTGGCCAGCCAATCTGATGAGCTCTGGTACTAAGCGGAAGAAAGAACTCGTCGGTATGTATAGTGTTTTGAGCTGTCCTTTCTTTATTCACCACAGTGAAGCTATATTCGAAGAATGTTTGGCATTGATGCAGCTGGTTTATTCTTCTGAATTATTCAACAGATGCGTTATTTCGAGTACTAAAAATAAACATGAACCGGAATCTAGCATTCGATCAACCATTTGGCTAGACATTCAAAACAAAATCATACTTAATAGTGATAATAATAATTATTAAGTACTAAGTATTATTATTATTGTCACACTAATTTTCAGTTAATTTACTCTTATTGTAACTGATCTGAAAACAAGGCTGAACAAACTAGTAACCAAAGTTAGGTGTCTAAGTGCGGGATAAATTTAATCAAAAAGATAAATAACAGAAGATAACTCTCTCTAATTCAAATTTCTTAAAGGATAATCTTTGGGCTCCCTATCATTAAACTGAACTCTCTTCTTTATAACGATGCTTTAACTTTAATATCATCTTCGAACACATGAAAGTCCTGAACAATCAATATTGAAAGTCTCATACAATGTTGTGAAAACAATTCCCCATCTTTTGTTGCGTTTTAAACCTGAAATTATTACTCCACTCTTATTCTAGTCAGAAAGTATGTTTAGTCATTACATTCCATGAGAGACCATATGCAGGAGTATAACCAACCTTGTACATTCATTCCTCTACTCATTAGGTTTGGTTTGTTTTGAATTTCGCGCAAAGCTACACGAGGGCTATCTGCGCTAGCCGTCCCTAATTTATCAGCGAAAGACTAGAGGGAAGGCAGCTAATCATCACCATCCACCACCTACTCTTGGGCTACTCTTTACCAACGAATAGTGGGATTGACCGTCACATTATAACACTCCCACGGCTGAAAGAGCGAGAATTTTTGGTGGGACGCGACCCTCATATTACCCTAACCACCTGGCCATACTGGGCCACTACTCACTAGGGACAAGAAATCAGAAAATCTGGTAAAGCATGGTTAAATGCATTACTATTTTTGTTTCGGATCGTATTTACAATGATCAGACCACACTTCCAAAGATCAGATCATACTTCTAAGGATGATATCATATTTCCAAGGATCAGATCATACTTCTAAGGATCAGACCATACTTCTAAGGATGAGATCATATTTCCAAGGATCAGACCATACTTCTAAGGATCAGATCATATTTCCAAGGATCAGATTACATTTCCAAGGATCAGACCATACTTCCAAGGATGAGATTATATTTCTAAGGATCAGACCATACTTCCAAATGATCAGATTATATTTCCAAGGATCAGACCATACTTCCAAGGATGAGATCATATTTTCAAGGATCAGACCATACTTCGAAGGATCAGATTATATTTCCAAGGATTAGACCATACTTCCAAGGTACGTGTCCTCTTCTCTCTTTTCTTGCAGGCAGAAACAAGATATAAATACGATCCGATCCTTGGGAGTATGATCTGATCCTTGGAAATATGATCTGGAAAATGTACAATAAATATGTATATCAGTTACCCAATTAACTTTCAAGCATATATACAAATAATACACTTGAATCACTAAACGTTCACGATAAACAAATTTAACGTATGTGAAATTTTACAGAAATTACCGTCTCGGTTCCCCAGTGGTGCTACGGTAAGTTTACAGACTTACAATGCTAAAATCTGAGGTTTGATTCACCACGGTAGACAGAACGTAGTTAGCCATTGCGTAGCTTTATGCTCAAAGACCCAACAACAACACCAATTATCCACCAAAAAATAAAAGACAAAATCGTAATAACTTTAACAGAGTTCATTTTTAAAATAATAAAATAAAATACCTTAAACACCCTGCATTTCAAGAGATATTATGTATGCCTCGAAAATTAATTAATTTCTACTAATGTCGTCCAGTAGGTAAACGGTAAATTTCCGGACTTATTACACTAAAATCCGGAGTTCGATTCCCCGCGATAGAAAGAGCGCAGATAAACCATTGTTTAATATTAAAAGGCTAACATTCAAGGTATTTGTGTAAATAAATAATTAAAATTTCTCAGAATATAGTTCATAAAGTGTATACCTAACACGTTGGTCGTTTGAGTGTTTTAATTAGACTATTGTTTTGGCCCGGCATGACCAGGTGGTTAGAGAGCTCGACTTGTAATCTGAGGGTCGCGGGTTCGAATCTCCATCACTCCAAACATGCTCGCCCTTTCAGCCGTGGGGGTATTATAATGTGACGGTCAATCCCACTATTCGTTGGTAAAAGAGTAGCCCAAGAGTTGGCGGTGGGTGGTGATGACTAGCTGTCTTCCCTCTAGTCTTACACTGCTAAATTAGGGACGGCTGGAGCAGATAGCCCTCATGTAGCTTTGCGCGAAATTCGTAACAAACAAACAAACAAGACTATTGTTTAGCTTGGGATTAAAACAGACAAACAAACAAACTGTTTTTGATTTTTTGGTTTTTTCCTTCACCAACAGAAAATATGTATAATGATACAGCACGCAGCATATGTTGTGGACAAATTCCAGGTGAAATGTTGTGCTTAAAAGATTCCTTTGTCAGCCATGAGAAATCGAATCCCGGAGTTTAACGTTGTGAGTCACCAAAAAAAGAATGATATAAACACAGTTAACATTGGTGATGGAAATTATTTCTTAAATTCTCCATTTTTAACAACGAATTTCTCGTTATCACTAAAAGAAAAAAACAACTCAAAAATCACTAAAGTTTGTGTAATAGTAATAGTTGCTTCCACTTCTGAGCAATGATAAATAATTACATTATCGGCTTAATGGAACTGATCAACGTAAAATAAATTGTGTGTGTGTATATATATATATATATAAAGATAGCACGTAACTAGTCTATATCTCTAAGGAACTGTGGAATTATAAACGCCATTTCTTTCCACTTCTCAATACTGGTATTTGTTACTTTCAACCTGAAAGGCATCTTATACGATACATTGGGTTATTGACCAGGTCATGTACAAACCTTCTGAAAAGCTAAACTGTATCTATCCCCAATTTTGAACTACTCCTAATAAACTCTCATAATGACTCTCTATATGACGGACAGATGTGGCTACCAATCATATTTCAACCCACAAAATTCCCAGATTTCTAAGTTCTATCGTCATTATCCTGAAACAAAATGTGAAAAAATAACTACTTTTGAGACATGCGCTGTTGAATCTTTATTCCTTCTCTTAACCTCCTTGCACTAATGTAGTTATTCAATCAAATTATATAACGATACGGCACACCAATCAATTTTTAAACTGTAAGTAAAGAAGTCAAACACACATTTCTTTCAAGTCAAATGCATGCTCATGGGGAGAATCTACTACAAGTAGGGGATTCTGTTTTTCTCCATCAAGGAAGTCTGAAAGAAACATCTGTCAGCCCTGATAACAAGTGACGTTGTTGCTGATAGCCCTTGGCGGAATATAAAGAAACCTAATTAATTGCGTTGAGGAATACTAGATGGCATTACGTACGCCACATAAAAAAAGAAGTCATTTGGGTGATAAACTGTGAGTTCTATTTCAAAAGAGAAAAGGAAAATTACTGAAGATTAATAAGAGTTCAGTGTTTTAAGAACTAAAATCGCAAAATTTATGGGATTTCATCGCAATGTCACATGTAAAGAAACATTTTCTTGAACATTTGTTATATCTTTGTAACATTTCAAATAGGCCATCGTATAGCTTTACGTTTAAAAGTTGCAAACAAAAAATCTTCAGTCTCTTTGATCATCAGTAAGGTTCACTTATGGCCAATTTTGGTTTTCAGGAATTGGTTGGTCAGGTACATCCATCTTTGCCCCCCCCATGGCAC